GCATTCTATTGTCTTCGAGATTTTTATAAACTTGAACCATGGGAACAACCGAAACCTACTACTATATTAAATGAAAAAAATTCTGGAAAAGAAAAAGGGACAAACCGTCATGCGTGCATACCTGTCACGAAGTTCTGAAGCAAGTTAATATCCGAAATGGCTTATTATTTCCTAAAAAAAACAATGGTTGTTAATGACGGTTACATGTTTCATCTAGTAAATTATATTTTATGCATTGATAATGGACCGTATTGTATTTAATTCAACCTCACCATAATTACAAAGGAAAATTACTAATAAAAAAATAGATTCGACAAAGTGACTAAACTTTAAATTCAAATAGCATGTAAATGATTGGAAATTACTGATACATACAATTCTCCATAAATGCTTTATTATGATTTATAATTATCTATTTCTAATATCAGCGTGAAATGCTTATTCGTGTGCATAATAGAATACCTTTTAATTCAGATAACTGAATTAGTAAAACATAATTATAAGAAACGAACATAAGAAAATAAATACCTGAAAATTGTCGTATAATAAATCTTTATCTTCATTATAATGAAATTGGTAATAACAAGGATCACAAAAATAAGCTGGCGATTCGCCGGATAAAAAATCGTTAACAGTCACAAGACTTTATAGAAAGACAGTGGGGTTAATAATTAAATTAAGAAAAACGGTTCGAACTTAAGTAATTATCTCAAACTTACATAGCAGGTCGTTGCATGCACATGCGGCATTTATGTCGACCTATTTTGCCTCTGAATATAGCTTTTGGGTAAACAGCAGGGTCTGGATCGTCATACGCTTGCTTTAACCTAGATATTGATATATAACATCAAATATCATGTTATGTAATATAAATTAATATAAATTAGGAACAAAGTTTAAAGTACCTCAAGTCCCTAAAAACTACAGCGTGTTGACAATTCCCCTGATGTACAAACAAATACGGTTGGTTTAGTTTTATTGATAATTCATTGAACATCACATCTTCCATTATTTTGCTACGGTAAAGACCAAGTCCAGGTTGTCTATATCTATTTTTTTCTTTAGCCCACTCTATGATGTTTCTGCAAATATGAACAAGGCAAAGAAGAAATAGTAAATATAATAGAAAATCTAAGTCAAAACCATATAGAGTTATATAGAGTTATTATTTTACCTGCTATAATCAACAGCCCTCGGGTCTCTGAAATCATTATAAAATACATTTTCGATAAAAAAGTAACTTGGAGACATTTTTTGGTTTGTTTCATTTAATATAGTAGTAGGTTTCGGTTGTTCCCATGGTTCAAGTTTATAAAAATCTCGAAGACAATAGAATGCATCTCTAAGAGCAGTTAATGGTTGACTTCCCAAAACCAAAAATTCTTGCGTGCGCGTGGAATTTTTACTCTGATTGTAAAACGCAACCGACAGGATGACTTCAGGTTTATTTTCAAAGTCTTGAGGTTCATTTGGCTTGTTCGGTTTAGAGAACTAAATAAGAACAGAGTCAATAACTTGTTAGCATAGAAACACGAAACACGAAACTTACAACTAGTAAACATACTTTTACGGAAGACAAATAATTCAAATCTTCACGCTTAATATGAGAACTTTTGGATCTATTGATATCTCTTTATAGGGAAAAGTAAATGTATAAATATATTCGAATGAGATTGACAAACTCAGCAGTGTCCACAAACCTTAAACTTGCCAGAGGAGAACTATCCGACTCCTTGGCCATTTCCAGATATTTAATTTCCATTGCTGACGGCTCAGGTCTTATTTTGCCCGGATCATGGTGGTTAAAATATCGTGAGCATATTATCCTTTCTGAATTGAAAGCAAAAAAATAGATTCTAACCTGCATTTTTCTCTGATTTCTTTAAGCTGTTTCTTGCTAAGTTTTTCAGACAATCTAGAATCGCATATGCTCTCCTCTTCGCGTCCAAGCTCCAAACTAAAAGAATCCAGGAATTTTTGAACATTAATCAACTCTGTTGGTTCCCCTATTTGAAGAGACCATTCTTTTTCTGCACACCGATTAGTCTCCGTCGCTGGACTAACCATTCCCTCATTTGTCTTTGGAAAAGAACCAGACATACCGTATATACCGTATACGACGGACCTCTGTCATAAAATAATTATCGGTCATGCGGATATTTAGATGGTGCATATGATAGTTTATTTATGTGTAACAATACAGAAAAAAAAAAGACAAAAAAAATTTTAAAAAAAACTTTGGACAAGAAAAATCAAATATTACAGCAAGTAGAGGTTAAAGCCTAAAGGTTTCTAATTTAAACTATGCAAATCGAAAATCCCAAACTAGTACCGAAATCCCAAACTAGTGCCGAAACCAACTAATGCCAAAACCCTAAACTTGGGCCAAAACCCTAAGCTTGGATGATTTTTCCAAAACCTAAACCAATACCGAAATCCCAAACTAATGCCAAAACCCTAAACTTGGGTGATTTCCCCGAAACCTAAGCCAATACCGAAAATCCCAAATAAGTACCGAAATCCCAAACTGCCCTAAACTTGGCAACGTGTACATCATGTATGAAATTTTAAAAAAAATGCAAAATTGCATATCACTACGTAGTCTCGCGCAAAGCATATCTAATTAATATGTTTAAAAAAAACTCAAATTTATGTGATACATGTTTTAAATTTTGGATTTTGAATAACATTAGCAGAAATGCTTTAATAATTACAGTACTACGTATAAAATCAATTCAAAGACTTTAACTAGTGATGGGGGACTACCGAATTGTTAATTGTCCGAAGCGTAGCGAGGACTTACATGTACAAGTAAAACTTAAAAAAATGTCTGTCTGTCCAGCACGTGACTACGTTGTTGATCTGCACATACTAGAGGCCTGAGCAGAATTTTGTCTGTCTGTCCACCCACGTGACCAATCATATAAATAATTGGACAATTATTTAATTCGCTTCGGACTTAAAACAGCACCTGTTTTCCTAGTTAATAATAAAACAATTATTAACGTTAATTAGTTAATAACAGATAATAGTTATTAATTTCGGTAATTGTTAAAAATTGCATTTTAATTACTGCATACGCATGTATGTAATTGTTTGGGTCAAAATCCCGACAAACAATTCTGACAACAAAATTCCCGGCAAAAATTAATTAGAATTCAGCTAACACTAACTTACTTGTTAGGATTTTGGTTAATGAGCGTGCTATGATTGTCGTTTATTAACACGAAAATTAAATTCTAATAATGTTTACCTTATTACTAATAATTAATAAAATTTCGTCACTTCGCAAACAAGAAAAAAAAAATACTCGTCTTCCGAAACCGTAATTTTAATGTTCTCTCATTTTAATAAAATACCATTTAGTACATGGTATAAGGACGTACCCGAGCGCCTGCGCGGTACGTACTAATACTAAATACTAAATAGTTGCGCCATACATTATTAACAAGGCTTATAATTCTATTCATTTTTTTTTTATTTTTCTATTGTAAATTTGAGTATTAAATTTTACTATAATTAATTATAAAAATATTTTAAATTATTACTTTACTAATGCTCTATTAATGCTCTAACAATATGTTTAAATAATTGCAGATTATTAATAAAAAAAAAATTTTTTTTATATAAAGACAAAAAATTGAGCTTTTGTTCTATTGTTCTATTTACCAACAACGGACTTTTGTAACCAGTGTTATAGCATTATTAATGAGCAAATCAACGAACAAATCGTGTTCATTGTT